ATGTAAACTGACTAATGAGTGACTGTTTTATCTGTATTTCCTGCATTACGAGGCCTTCTGAATGCCTTGGATCAAAGTCTCAGCCAGACACACACATGAATTATGAATCCTGCGTTGAATGTTTCATACTGTGGTGTGTGTGTGTGTGTGTGTGTGTGTGTGTGTGTGTGTGTGTGTGTGTGTGTGTGTAACTCACCAACACTGAGTGCATGCCGGTGTAGAGGCGACTCAGACATACCAAGGACGACAGCGTCACTGCGATCAGCAGACCCACCTCGAACTGGAACTGGATCACAAAAACACACTTTCATCCATCCAGCCATCACAGTGACAAACGCTGCTCCCTCATTACGCTATAAAAGATGAAATGTGTCAAAGCAGAACGCTGTGTGCCCACAGCAGTTACAACTCGGGGTAAATGTGTGATTGGTTTTCATTTGGTGCTTTTTTTTCCTGTTAGTTTGCCATCAATCGTCCTCGTTTCCACGTTCAACTCCCTCTCTGCTGTCGTTGTTGATGTACTGCCTGTCATCACCTCGCCGCTGCTTTCTTCCTCCGCTGTCTCCCCGTCCTCCTGCCCTCCCTCCTTTACCTATGACGGCCGGTTTTGTTTCCCCCCTCCATTTCAATAACAGTGAGAGGAGAGGCCTCGTGTATTCATTCACCTCCTCCGCCCTCCCCTCCTGCGCCCCCTCCTCTCCTCCTCTCGGCCTTTTTTCCTCTGTCTTTTCCTGTCCTTTGCAGCTGGAGGCCTATTCACTGGTAGTTCATGAAGAGAGGTTTTTTTATGAATGGCCACAAAGGATACCAGGGACAGGAGGGGGTCACTCTGTGATTGACTGTCGTGACCTCCGACCTGCTTCGGGAACAGGCCGAGTTGCCCCGAGGCCTTGTGGCTATTCAGGAGTCTCCACCACAGCCTGCTACTCATCTACAGCTATGCGTGCCTTTTCCTTTCAGGGGAATCCTTGTGGAATTTCAGGCCGCAGCCAAAGCGCTCTACTGTACACGGATGTCTCAGGGGCTGTTCGTCGGATTCCTCTGACCTTGGGAACAAGCGCTGCGAGAAAACGTGACGGCGAACTACCCGAAACCATCCCACCACAAATCAGCGTGACAGCAGCAGCGACCGTAAAGTGCTAACTGAGGGATTTAGCAGACACTCGGTTCTTCATTAAAACCCAGAGCTTGATTAAGACGGCCTGTGATTGAGCCGCTGAGTGTTTTATTGACTTTGTAGTAGAGTGGGACAGATAAAGAGGGGAAGAGTCAGGAGGAGGGAGGTGGAGACGTGGACTGACAGTCATTGACTCAGTCGAGTCCATCAGAGGACTAAACAGCAGCCCGACGAGTGTGGCTGATGGTGACTGATGGTGACTGCTGGCTCCGCCCCCCCGGCCCTTTGTCCAACAGCCCAGTCGGGACTCGGTGATGGACAGCGGGGCCACTCCCTTCATCCCAAACCGCCATCCACAGGCTCCCAGTGCCTCAAACCCAGTCTGAGGGAAGCTGTGCATGTGGCTCAGCCAGTTCAACACCAGCTCATGCCTCTCCATCCTGAAGGAATCCATAACATACAATGGCACCTTAATAGCTCATCTAATGAGATACCTAGTGCCACAACGCAGTTCAACATCCACTTAGCCTCGTAGCTCTAATGGAGGTTGAAGTACATCATCTGCAGTCAGTAATGGTGGTAATACAGCTTTTCATAGTAATGAGCAGCGCAACCACTGACTAATAGAGCTGCAGTAATAACATCACAGGTACCAACCAAGGAGCAAAGAATCAAGGTTTCCATCTGCCTGAGTCAAAACATTATGTGATGGTGTGATGCTGTTTAGTTCCCTGATCCTTCACAGGAGATGTGAAGTTTTTAGAGAAACTCTCACAGAACAGTTTGGGCATTGAAGTTCATTTTCAACCTTTGGGAAGATTACGGTCAAGAAAACAAAGACTGCAGCCATGCTTGAAGTTCTGCAAAGCTATTTTGAGCTACATGCTAACATCATTATGCTAACAAGCTCTAAATGGACTCGTATGAATCTCCACCCTGATGCCTAATCACCGAGCCCCAACAGACTGAAGGCTTAAAATGTCGAGGAAAAGCAAAATGTTTGTGGCAGTTCTGTGCCAAACCTGTCGCTGATTTGCAGCAAAGATATTAGTTTGCTACTGTTGACCACTGGGGACAAACTTTCAGTTATATTCTGGTGGTGATGTTTCCTGGTGGTTTTGTCACCACAGTTGGTGAGTCGCACTAAACTTCAACATTCTGGTTAAAAAATTTGCACCAAATTTCTGTTGCCACACCGAGCATTTCTGGTAATAATTGTGTTATTTCTGATTTTCCAGAGTAGTTGTTTTATAATTTCTTAGGACAGATTTTCTTGGTACTGGGTTTTAGGCTATTCTCCTGGGTTTTTTCCATGTGCTCTGGATTCCTTTGACAGTCCAGAGACGAACATGATCGCTTAAATCGTGATTCTAAATTGTGACTGTGAGCATGAAAGGTCGTCTGTCTCTGCGATGGACTGGTGACCTGTCCAGGTGGTGCCCAGCATCAGCCTGAGTAATTTTTAGGTTGTAAGAGGTTTAACTTCACCAAAACATATGCTCGAAACACGTGAAATATGATTTTTCAGTATTACTGCTAACATTCTAGCCTGTAGCAAAAAAAACACAATTTAGAATCAACCACACTCATTTTAATGGCCGTCCATCCAACAAATCACTTAAACCCACCAACATGAAACTAATGTTGGTGCTGCAGACGATGTCAGGGGCTCAACCACGTGTGTTTATTCATCCACTAGATTCGATTTTTCACTACATAAGGCTAAACTTTGACCTACTGGCAGCACCAAATCTCATGACAATCCATCAAGTAGTTGCGAATCTGTTTCACTGAAAACAGGATGAAAATAACACTTTGACCTCATGATGGTGTTTACAACTGACGCACGATGCTGGTTCCTGAGGAGAACCAGAATGTCTGCACCAAATTTCATGGAAATCCACCCAATAATTGTGAAGACGTTTCACTCCAAACCAAAGATGTAATTGTCACAGTGGTTTTAGATTGCTGTTGAGATTCATCATTTGGGGATGAGGCATGTTTGCACTGAACTTATAGTAATCCATCCACTAGTCTCAGCTGGGACCACAGTGGTATGTGGAAAAACTGACATTGCCATCTATTAAGCCACAAGTGGATTTGGCCGAAGTGTCTCTACAGGATACTATGTCTGAGACTTGGGTCATGAGTGTTACATACAATGACCCGTGTCTCGGTTCAACATCGGTCTTTGGTGTCGGTTCCCAACTTGATTTTTCTCTGGTTGTCTACTGTCTCCTGGTTGATGACTTTGGACCTGAGCCAGCTCCATTTGCTGATGGAGACTGTGGGATGAAAGCCCAGAAAAGCTAGTTTGAGTTTAGATGAATTTATTTGATGTAATAGCCTCAAAGAAATGTAATCCATCATGGCCCATTTGCAACTCGCAGCTGCCACCAGTGCTGTGAAGCTGGTCCACCACAGCTACCTGCTCACCTGTAATCTGGAGGGGGCGCTTAATAACAGCGTGAAGGAGATGGAGGTGGCTGCCATGGCGTGGGTGGAGGGCAGGCCGTACTCCGCGTCCACTCGTGTCTCCAGCTTGACCACAGGTGGTGAGAGAGGACGAGGCAGCTTCAGCACGTCCTTCATCACCTGGCCGACGTACATCACCAGCTAGACGAGACACAGCACATGCAGCGCAACACTGAGTCTCTCTGGAAGCTTCATACAGCACAAAGTTGTCATTTAAACCTGCTGTAAAATAGTCCAAAGCACCATTAAAATTTAATACCAACAAAAAAAATAGAGCCGCAGAAGAGCACTGCAGCACGCTGGCCACAAAGGCAGGAATCAGAGACGGAGGAAGATGATAAAATAATGAGAGGGGGGGGAAGTAAAATCCTGATTAGCCTCTGCTTTAAAACGAACCGCACACTTTCATAAATAAGTAATCACCATCCTCACTCAAAAAAGAAAAAGAACTGCACAGGAGCGGAGACCCACTCTGGTGCAAAGTGCAGATGCTGCAGCGGTACAGTAACCAAATCTATTGTGAGGAACGAGGAACTGAAGGAAGCACGGTTTGCTGACACAGCGTCTTGAGCTTGGAGGGGTGAGACAGAGGGCTCCTGACACAATGACACAGTCAGTGCAAGGTGTGTGTGTGTGTGTGTGTGTGTGTCCTGCCAAATGTGCTGCCTATTCTCTTTCATGAGCTCCCCAGCGGCCCTCGGAGGGGCAGCCTGCTCCAGCTCCAGGTTTATTTAAAGCTCTGCCTTGTATATTTAATGAGTGGCTGTCTTGGTGAGGAGCAGGGAGGCAGCGCGCAGAGAGAGGAAGCAGGGTACTAATGTGTGTGTTTAAGGGAGAGAATGGAGAGGTTGTTATTACCGTCTCCACTGACGCTGTAATCAGGAAGTGCGCGTTACCATGGCGAATGAGATATAAAAGTACATCCACTGACCCGCTGTCGGTGACGCAACTCGCAGAGACACAGATGTAGAGAGAGAGCGGGAGAGAAAACGACACGGCCGCAAGCAGGAGGACCACGAACAGTGAAGCAAAATGTGAATTCATTCTACTATAACGTCCAAAGGCTGTTCCTTAACAGTGTCGGCAGATTGAATTTGCAGCTTTTCAGCCACATGAGCAGTCGTGAGGTTCAGCACTGATGTTGGGTAATGAGACCTGAGCAGCAGCTTCATCCCAAAGGTGCCAGTCAAGTTCCAGTTCTTTAGGGTCCTGGCTTTAAGTTATTGAATCCTGGAGATCCTGGAGAAACGCTCTCTCATCTTGCATGCACTATTGTTGTATAAAGGGCAAAATGACAATAAAACTTGATTTGATTTTGGTCTGTGCATGAGCAAACAGGAAAGGCTCTACCCCACAAATGTCACTGCAAGATGCTGCATTAAAATTTTATACAATGGTATTTCAGGACACACACTTTCTTACCAATAGTTGGTGAGAAGATTGAGATGCAACACAATTCATTTCTGCGAATAAAGCTCAGAGCTGGTTTTACCTTAAAAACTGGACGGTGGGAGAAATGGCTATCCAGTCTGTCTCCAACACACCTCATAGCACCAGCTATGTTCATTAACATGCTAGTTCTGTGGTGCTTCAGTTTGCCAAAGAAGTGCTTTGAGCTAAGTGCTAATTTCAGCCTCCCAGCTTGCTCACCATGGCGACGCCAACACGCTGATTTATAATAAAGTCTCGTTCACCATCTTTGTTGGGTCCTAGCATTTGTTACTTAACGCAAAACACAAAGACAGAATAATCAGAAGTCTGGTTTTTCCAGGTGTTTGGTAACAAACTACCAGAACATTTGAATTTCTGGCCTGATTATTGTGTTTGAAATAGACGAGTGTAAATCTGCTCAACACAGACCAACAGATGAGTCAGTGGTTCCTGTGCCCTGCTCGTGTTCACAGGAGAATCTCAAGATTCAACAAGTACATGTTAATTAGTGAGCTATGGAGGTGTTCATAAGTGTACAGTTGAACTTTTGGAGAGGGCCGGGCCCTTGATACATCCCCCCCTTTCCAATTTATGCTAATCAAAGCTAATCACATTCAGTCTCTGGCCTCGCTCGCGCCAGGCATTAGCACGATTAGCAAGATCCAATTATAGCTGGATAGCTGCTCGTACAAATGTCAGCGCAACAGAGGTACGAGGAGGACGCGTGTAGAGATCCGATCGTGAGGACCACATTTGGACATGATGTGGACGCCACATTCTTTTAGCTGTGTGTGTGCAAATGTATCATAGATCCACAATAAAGGACCGCCAACTTATCTGATGTTTTCTGTATAAAGAGGTCTAGACTTTATTCTGTTTGTTAAACTGCCTCCAAACACAATGCACGCATCACTGACAGAAAACCTCCTGCACCTCTTTTGTGTTCATGTCAGCAGCAGCAGTGAACACAACAGCTGTGAGCGCGGTGCCAGAGCTCGGAGCCCATTCTGGGCATTCTGCATGTTCAGAGCCGAGTCCTGCACAACACCGGCCCACTAGACTGGTATTTAATGCAACAGAATGGAACCTAATACCGAGGGAGCACATATTACTGCAGATTACAAGACACAGACGCAGCCCGTGAATGTGTTACAGGCAGTAAAGTTACGTTTTACAGCGAGCCAAACAGTGTCCAAGGTTTTTTTTTTTTCACATTTCTGTAGAGAGATTGGTCCAAAATGGAAGCTGCAGAGAGTCCAGTAGCTTCAGTTTGCACCAACTTTCCTGTATTTTGCTTTTGTTACTTCCCTCATATCACATCTATCACATAATGTGTTGAAATCCTCTCACAGTGGAGCCGTTAACGTCTGAATCTTAGTTTTTGTTCAGGGTTTTGCAGAAACATTAATGAACCTACTAATGTCATGTTTGTTTCCTACTGGCTGCTTTAAATTCTTCTACGTGTTTATTTGCCGGTAGAGCGGGGAATTAAGATCCGATCAGAAGCGGTAAATGGAGACACACACTAATGTCAGGTGTGAACTGATGTACTTGCAGCTGTCCTCCAGTGATTGGATCTCCTAAAACACAGGTTCTTTCAGTGTGAACATGGTCCCTGACTCCATAATACGCTGACGTTGACATCTCATGTGGAAATTCCTTAATAAAAGTGGTAAGTTTATAACAACCTGCTGAATTCAAGCTGACAAAGTGATCTAAATGATCCTAAACAACTAAGAGTCAGACTGATTTTTCCACGTCGGGCTTGTTCTTTCCTAAAGCTGCTCTTTTCTATCCCTCGTCCTCTCGTCGGGCCTGAATGTAGGTTTCTTATTACATTATTTGCATCTACCTCTAATGTACCTACACACACCCAGACAGACAGAATCGCTGGTACCAGGAAGTGGACAATAAACAGAGGACACACAATGCTAAACCCATTTAGCACATCTGACCCCATTCATTGGACATGACTGTGTATTCATACAACAATCCATACTGTGTGCACGCCATGCGCTGCCCCCACCCCCGGCCTTCGTACAAAGAATCTGCCTACCAGCTGAAGTGCTTGCATGATATGATACCCCCGCCCCGCCCCCCACACCCACCATCAACACAAACATCACATTCAGCAGCCTCCAGTAAATCCATCGCTGCAGCGTCTCATTGGTGTCTTTGTAGCAGTCACATCAAAAGGCCTGAGCGGGGACAGTCTGGTCACACTGAGAGAAGAGTTAAAGGCCGATCACATACTGTGTGTGATCTCGTGAATAAGTATATTGACTGAGGCCGGCGCGGCTCTGGACTTTGATCTGTCAACATGGGGATGAGTGTGTTGGTGTGTGTTGGTGTGTGTTGGTGTGTGTTGGTGTGTGTTGGTGTGTGTGGAGGAGCTGTTTCACAGGTCACGGTTTGGAAGGAAGGAAAAAAAAAAAACACAATCTTGGTTTTGTTCCGATGTGAAAGGATAAATAACTGCTTAGGTTATGAGCTCATATTTGTGGGATGCAGTGACCTCCAGGTGCTGCGTGAGGTTCTGCTCATGTGTGAACCGGTTACAGTGACGCCGGGTTAAATGCTCGGTTTGTGTACGCAAACAAAACAGTAAAATATCTCAGAACACACTCTGCATAATGAGGACGATAGCTTTAAAGCCTCAACAAGTTTACTGACTCCTTAACAGCCAATAATAGACCTTTATTAGTGCAGTGGGCCTTCTGGGAGTCACGATCCTCCGTAACGTGGCCGTGGAGCTGAAACCCCAACAGGACGCTCTGCGCACTTTACTGAGACAAGGAAGAAGAAACTGCTGCTCTGTTGGGCCCTTTTTAAAACAGTGTTTTAAGTCATAAAAGATCTGATTTAGAGGACGATTCTCTGGAGCGCTTTCAGAAGTTTTGTACAGTTTTTGTTTCGCTGAGGGGGATTTCACTTCTTCAGTAAAACAACAAACTAATTAGTCGCAAATAGTTTGTTATTAATTTGGTTTTTGGTTATTTTGAAGCTCATCCACACTAACACGGAGGCAAAACTAACACTTTCCCCTTCGTTTGTACCAAACATCTGCTGTTGTAGTCATGAGCTCACGACTTCCATTTGCTGGCAGCAAGAAAACATCACAAATATTATACCTGCAGGCTCCACATTAAAATGGGAGCATTGTTATTGCTAGCAGGAAACAGTCGCACAGAGCCGCTGGTTGTAGACGCTGCAGCTGTACTTAAACACGATGACTAATTAAAAACTACAAGAACTGGACGAACAGCATGACGGTCGTTGCCAAAAACTTTCTAATGGGTCACAGTGACTCAGCTCTGGTAGTAGATGACGCACATCCCACAAGAATGCCTCTTGTCACCTCAAAATAGACGATAACCAGCATCTTTTACCAGCGCTAATAAAACCAGAGAGGACAAAAAAAGCAGTCAGGTGCACCAACTTAAATGACTTCAACCCCGACCGCGTGGCGCAGCACAGGTCCACCTCCAGCAGCCTGTCTGCATGTGACGGATAAGTCAGACAGCAGTAATTACATTCCAGACGAAGCAGATTGATGGTTTGATAGAGGAGATTATGCAACTGGGACTTTCTTCTCTAAACAGGAAAGGTAGGTGGTCACCATCAGGTGCTCATAATGTCGTCCTGCAGCTACTAGTCTCAGGTCATTAATGAGTCTTGATTCATGTGGGTTCGTTGAGGGTGAAACGGTCCGACTGGAGCGGTCCATGTGCCCTCATACATCATAAACATTTTACCCCCACTGCTATTATTCTTCATTTGTTTATTAACTGGCGTCTATCTGTCTCTAAAAACACACGAGTGACATAACCGGTCGCAGATATCCAACATCTGAAGACAAAAAGACTGCCAGCGACTGGATCTGAAGGCATTAGATTAGATATTATTATATTATTTTATCTGCCATCTGTCGGTACCAGCTGACCCAGTCTGGAACGCTGGAACCCGGTCCAATGACTGACTCGGGAGTCATAATGTGCGGCCCCACCTTTGGTCTTTTTTTTTTTTTAAATGAATCAATAATTAGTCATTTGTGGAAAATACTTAAATTTGTTAAACTAGTTATTATTATTATTATAATACAGGCATGAAGGACCACAGTTTGTTAAATGATGGGTCAGTGATCCAGGAATAATGAAATAGTTGTGTTTAAAGGGAATAAAAAGACTTTTTTTCATTGAATGTGAGACTCCCATCTGTCATCATTAGTGCATTAAAATAGGAAAAGCAAAGCAGCACACTTGGATCTGGGGGGAATGTTAAATCCCACCTCGTCTCTTGGCGTGTGCCCTTTGTGTCATCATGTAAAACATCTTGAGGTTTTCTAAACAGCACAGGAGGTGTATCATCTGCATAACACTGAGCTGCAATCATACCATACAACGCTGCAGAGGAATTCATGACCATATGGTTAACGACACTCACTGTTTTATAAGTCGACCAAAGTCACCCTGCAAGTGAAGGCAGCACGGGGCAGAAAAGGACACAAAGGGACGTGTGTGTGTGTGTGTGTGTGTGTGTGTGTGTGTAAAACAGAAGAGCAGATAGACAGTGCACAGCCCTCCATGGACCTGAGATAACTCCACCAGCACAATGGCAGCGGGAGGTTGGAAGTGCTGGGCGGTGCGCCCCGAGGGCCGCCGGGCCAAATGGTCGGCCCGGACAGAGAAAGCTCAAAGCGCTGATGAGGCCAATAAAACACTCTGCTGGTACACCAGGGGGGAGGAGAACACCGAGTAAAGCTGGTAATGTCTAACTAGAGGGAGGGCAATGTGTGTGTTTAGCAGGCGAGATGGGGAGAGTGTGTGTGTGCGTGTGTGTGTATTGGTGTTTATGTGTGTGTTTGAAAGGAGTTCACACGGGGGCACAGGATTCCAGAAGAATGGTATCTCTTCCCCTGGGGGGCCAAACGAGGGGTTCAGACACAGGGCACCCACCAAGCGCTCGGGGCAGGGACACAAAGGGCACAACAACACACTGCCCATCACACACACTGCCGGGCCAGGCTGTATGGCCGTCTCTGTCCGTCTGTGTGTCGCTACAAGTGTCTCTGAGACTCCTTCTGGGATCACGATTGACATGTTTTCAAGGTCTCTGGTCAGAATGTGTCGGACTCTGTCAGAATACACATCTAAAGGGGAGAGCCTAGGAGTCTTTTTCCACTGATGTGTCCTCATGTGTGGCCTTTCACCATGTCAGGGGCCCCGGTCAGGCTGGCCCCGGCGGCCCTCGAGGCCCGGGGACATATGGACGTGGTGGTGTCAGAGACAGGTCACTGGAAGGGGGGAGAAGGATGAAAGGAGGTTGAAAGGTGAAGAGAAGGAGACGGAGAAGGAGAAGAGGGGTGGCATTGTGAAGGAGACGGACACCAGAGCGAGGATGTGTGCACGCTGAGGTGGTGCGACCGACGGACAAAGACCGGCTCTCTGGCGGTGACTTACGGCCCACATGTTGACGAGGCGTCGGCACAGGAAGGGGTCCAGGCTCCAGTGAATGCAGGGCAGGCAGGTGATGTAGAAGATTTCGTGACCGAGGCCAGCCGAGACCAGGAAGAGGATGTGCAGCAGCCAGTTCCTCACCTCATAGCGAGGCTTGCTGGAGTCCTGCACAGAATACACCAAACATGACGGAACAGCATCACATCACGTCTGTTCCACGTACATGTTCCTTCACATGGCATACAGATGACATACAGGCACTACTTTGTCAGATTATTTCACCTTAAATGCCGTCGTGGAACTCATGTCATCCATCTGGGGACTGTCAGTGACTCAAGCTTGTTTACGCTCACGTGGGACGCCATAAAGGATGTGAGATAACTACACAGAGGATTGTGGGTCAGAGTTGAGGGAAAAGTATGTCAGCTCAGATACTGCAAATCTGACCAAATGTGGTAGAACATCCTGGTATTTTTATTTTTTAATCATACTACTCTGACGTACTCTGCACTGGGACCTACTCTGGGGTACTGTATAATATGATGGCATGATTATTGAATCGCACTCCTGATCTTCGGTCCAGCGTGGGCAGAGGCACCCATTGTTAGCTATCACTGTTTTTGCAGCTTCTTTATCATTTAAAATCTACAGGATTTCTTCACTAAGGGGTTTACTGCACCACCTTGAGGACTCACAACAGGTGGATCAAAGGTTAAGTCTGAAAAAAAGCCACGTTGATATTCAGCTAGTTGTGCCACGTTTACCGTCCCGTTTCCTCTTGTTCTGTTCTTATTTAAAAGCATGAGTGTGCAATAGACACTAGAAAAGCTACTTAGAGTGAAACCTACAGATCCAGGGTCGTGTACGAACAGAAAACACACAACAGTTAGTGAATCATGAGGAGAAATGCACTGAATTTAAATAAAAACTAACGGTAATACAGACAGAGAGACACAATTCAAAATATCACACAGACTTCACTGCTGAGGGGCAGGCTCGCTCCAAGCTCTCCTAATTGTATTAAACGTAATTCAGAAGTTGGTACATATTCACATATATGTTGGAAATGTGGCAAAATACAAAATGACTGGTCTGAAGTGAAAGATGAAGCTATTATTCTGATGGGATGTGACCTGGAGTTCTCTGCCTTTCAGTGCAGTTTGGCAGCAAAAGTGGACAACGTTAAGGACCAATACGATGCTAAACTGATCCATCCATCATCTCTACACCTTAATCCTCACTAAGGTCATGGGGGGCTGGAGTCTATCCCAGCTGACTCAGGGTGAAGGCAGGTTCACCTGGACAGGTAACCAGTCTATCACAGGGCTACACTTAGAGACAGACAACCAAGCACACTCACATTCACACCTACGGACAATTTACAATCACCAATTAACCTCAGCATGTTTCTGGACTGTGGGAGGAAGCCGGAGAACCCGGAGAGAACCCACGCTGCACGGGGAGAACATGGAGACTCCACGCAGGAAGATCCCGGGTGTCCTCACCGGGATGCCAACCAGCGACCTTCTAGCTGTGAGGCGACGGTGCTAACCACTGAGACACCTGCAGCTCCTAAACTGATTCAAATTCTCGTATATATAGCGAAAAAGACAATTCTCAAACTGGTTTTCTGTGGAGGACTGGAAAAGGAGGTCCTGAGGACACTCCCTCTGGAAAAGCTGACCTACACCCTTCATGGTAACACTGAAGGATTTATGAAGATATGACGACCTGTCCTGGACAATGTGGACATGATGGACCCGTTCCAGTCTGGACTTTGCTCTGTTAGGTCAACGCTAGTCCAGTCAATTTCAGAAACAATGACACCCTGATGGTGTAGAGGGGTGACTTTCTTGTTTGTTTGTTTGTTTCTAATTTTAAATCAATGTTTTTTTGTTTGTTTGTTTGCTTTTTGATGCCTGCTGTATGTTCACGTCTGTTCAGTGGTTAAAAAAAATATGTTGGAAAATAAGGTTCAGTTTCCTTTTGGTTCTGTACAAAAATACAAACCTAAATAAAGAGAAGTCAAAGAAAAAATCCAAAAAACTAGAAGCACTGACTCCATCTCAAAAACAACACCACATGGTTTATAACAACCTGAATGCTCTGATATGGGTCAAGCTCTGGAAGTGCTGGATCCTACAGTTCCCCGTATGCATCTGGTTTGCCTGGTCCATCAGACTGCCCGTTACCTTGACAGTAGCAGAAATTAGCTCAAGTACTGGACTTAAGTCCAGTTTTGAGGAACTTATGCTCGACTGTTTCCACTTTATGCTTCTTCGTCGTACGTTCTGATCCGCTGCATTTATCTGACGGCTTTAATTGTCTTCAAGATTAAGATTTCACACAATGGACACTGTAAAAAGCTTTCAAAATACAACACACTGTTGAAGATTAACCCAGAGGTTTACAGCCTCTGTGGCTTCTAACAAAAACAGTGTAATAATCAGGTCACAGTTTGATGATCGACCTCATAGTGATCTGTCTCGGTTCATTTCAAATTAGAGGAAAAAGTCCAAAAGCTGAAAAAATGTCAGAGCTTTGGCTTTTTAATTTCTTTTTCTCCTATTAATCATTTGGCAACCCCTCAAATGTATTGGCTTTGTCCCTAAACGTGTATAAAAGCAGTTAGTAATTGGTCATATGTAGTAATATGTCAGTCAGAGGGACAAAATCATGACTTTTACTTTTAACTGCATTTTGTCAGTTTTTTCCTGCAGGACTTTTATTAAAGTATTTTTACATCACTGAATTGGTACTTTTACTAATTAAAATTTCTAAATATTTCATCCACATCTGCCTCCTAAAGGCCCATTTTTACAAATTCTACATCCAACTGTTAATGCCGGCTTTATAAACCTGTAGTTTCCAAACCGCCCTGATCATCACTGTTAGATCATCTGGGTTCATTACACAACATCCGTTTGGCTGCCTGAACCTATTCCTGATGAGTGAATTAGCTCTCAGCCTACACCATTCACCATTCAGAGGAACCATGTGCTCCTCACACACAGCTCAGTTCTCTTAATTATATCACCATGAAATGCTGAACTCACTGCCTGGAACTGGAGCACATCTTCACTAAATATGTTGTTTGTCTGTAAAAAAAAAAAAAAAATGCAGACAGAAAAATGCAAACATCCCACAAAGCCTGTCTTGAGCAGCTGATGAGGATCTGGTGGCTGAGGAGAGCCAGACAAACGGGAAAAGCCAGTCACCGGTGGGTTTGCATCACCTTTAAATCAACCTGTCCGTTGCTTGTAATAACCTCCTTAATATCGTTAATCTGAGCGGATTTAAGGCTTTTGTTTTTCTGCCTGGCACTGAGCCAAGATAAGACAAGAGGTGTAACTCTTATTCTCGTTAGAATGATCTCACGTGATGTGGAAATCAAATGCAAATCATCTCCTTTTGTTTCCTCATTTAAATCCGTATTCAGGTTTGTAATAAACGTATTTCCACATGAAGGTGACTATTGAGGACTTACACTAACAGCACATCCGTTCTCTTTGTACTTGTAGTTGGAGTTGGAGTCCTGCTGGTCCCAGCTGCCCCTCAGACCTCCACGTGGGCCCTCAGCACCGACCGGGGCTCCGGCGCGGCCCCCGGTCCCGTGATGCGCGCCTCCGACGAGGAAGAGTCCGCATCGTCTCTGGAACCGGGCCACGAGCTCCGGGTCCTGGAGGTAAGCCAGGAGCTCCTGCATGTCAGGTGGACCAGACAGAAGACGTGAGCGGTGAGGACTGTCTGCTCGGGACAGCTTCTGGAGGGAGATATGAGCCCAGGCAGGGCGCATCCCAGGAGCAGAGCGCGGAGCCGCGGACAGGTGCGGCTGCTGTGTGTCACAGGTGTGCGCAGGGGGGCGGAGCTACCAGGGGGAGGAACCAGGAGGTGCAGCGGAAGTGTGAGCGACCTTTATCCTGGGATGGTTCTGATGTTATCTGTGTAACTAAGTAGGTTGATGGTATATCAGTGCCAGCAGGGCTTTTGTGGAGCTTGTTTCTTTACATTACAGAAAACAGCACAAAGAAAACGTGCATTTAGTGGAAAAACCAACAAGATTGACTTTAGATTCAGTCACACTCACCAGGAATATGACCTTAAATATTGGTAACTACAACTAACCAGCAGTGTGAACCCAAATAAGAGAGCTTAGAAAGTCACCCTGCTGGCTTTTAGCAGAAACAGTTTGTAGTTTTGAACACTTTAGACACAAACCTGTTTTTATTTATTCACATTTATCTCTTTATCTGCTATAAAGGATCTTTAGGAAACTTTGTTGTTTTTAAATAGCTTCAGTTTTTCTGTTTCAGGTCAAATTTGACCTGTTTTGACGTTTGGCAGCAGTAAAAATACCCTAAATGTCCTTTAGCCTGAAACTTCAGGACACTAAAATGAAAACATTTTAACATTTTCAGGTACAACAGCTGTTTGTACGCTGAAGCTCTTTTGGGTCAAATCCCACCCGTATGCACTGAGATGGAT